TTTGTACATCGTTTCTCAAAACATTTTCTCTCCATTTAAACCCCCGACATTAGGTCCTCATTTTTCCCCTCCCTCCCCGCTCCCCCCTCCCTCATCAGCCCTTGATAGTTTATAAATGGGTATTTTGTCGTATCTTGCCCTGTCTGACGCAGAGACTGTAACTCTTTATCGACGCAGAGACTGTAACTCTTTATGGGAGTAGAAAGCCTCATCTTTCTCCCACGGAGCAGCTGGTAGTTTCGAGCTTCTGACCTTGAGATTAACAGTTCAATTTGTACTCCTGGGCTCCTTCCTTATTATTCTAGATCCTGTTAAATTTCAGGAAAGCAATCTTGGTAGGAATTGCAGGCTAGAGGAATGTCCCCATCAGATCGACCAAGACTGTCCACTCCCTTTGTTTTCGGATAAGGAAATTGAAGGTCAGAAAAGAGAGCACTGTGTCTCAGGTCCCCCGACTGATGAGGGGCACAGAAATGCAGAAACAAGACTTGCTTTGGTTCCCTGTACACTAAGGGAGTCCCTTTATGGAACCACCTCACACTGATGGAGGATGCATCCATTTCGTCATATTCGTTCACATAATGACTTAGCAATTCACACCAGTTGCTACACACTTTATGACTCTCACAAGCTCCTTTTACCAATCAAAGGATTTCCAACAAGCCCTACAACTGTCCCGATGTCCTGTAAGGCCACCTTAGTACTAAAGCCTATTGGATGACCCGGGGCAGAGAGGGACAAGGGACACTTCCTGGGGGATGTGCAGAGAAGCTGTTCAATGGACATAACTCATCGTAGGAGGTCTAAGACCTGATCTGAAGCATAGCCAGGGACAGGAGAAAGTGCATGTCCAGGAACCCAAAGGCCTAAAGTCTAGTCCTGAGTGTGCGTCTACCCCTCAACCTTTTGAAAGGTTGAGCCTGATGCATGGCTGAGTCTTTCTTGCACTATGCACTCATCTGCAGCAGAGCCTGGTGAGTGCCCCCTGCGATTCAAGAAGCTCTGGGACCTTCTTGCAAGGAATACAGTGGTAGTGGCTGGTGCTTATGGTGTATTCAGTGTGGCCAGGCAATTAACCAAGAGCATCACCTCTCCTGATCTTATCAAAACAATGGGGCAGGCCAGTAGGTGTTATTCATTAATTACTCCAACCTCACTTTTCTCATCTATAATGTGAGGATAATAAGAGTTCTTACAACTTAAAGTTGCAATGAGTTAATATATGGAAAATGCTTAGAATGGTAAGGTCCCCATCGTGATTGCTATTGTTATTATTATTATCCCATTTCTATATTGCCAGCTTTGTTCATATCCTTGCTCTTATGTCTCAATTTTTACTACATGACCCACTCCCTCTTCCTTCCCTCCATGAGCACAGCTCACTGCACCAGGGGTAAGATCCCTGACCCAAGAATGTAACAATCTGATTCTCCTGCTGAGAATTGAGAATGGAAGGGCTCAGCCCACTGATGTAAGCAGTAGGCCTGATATGTTGCAAGTTGTGCAACAGAAGATGCGGGTGAAGAGAAAGGAGAGAGAATAAATGACCACCAAGAGGCAGAGACGAGACAAGTTACTTCTTCATCAATGACAAGCTTGAGACTCTGGCAGCTTTTCACATCTGGCAACCAGGTGGCCTCGCTGCACTTTGGTTTCAGTAGCCCTGGTTTTACTTACTGTAGCCTTCTTGTTAGTCCCTGGTGGCACAAATGGTTAAGCAATGTCCTGATAACTGAACAGTTGGAGATGCTTTAAAAGAAAGACCGGTGACCTACTACAAAAGCCACAGCCTTGAAAACCCCATAGAGCAGCTCTGGTAGAGTAGTGGTTATGTACCGGGCTGCTAACTGCAAGGTTCCCAGTTTGAAACCAGCGGCCACTTCTGGGGGGAAATACAGGGTTTTATAAGCCTTTAAAGAGTCACAGTCTAGGAAACTCACAGGGACAGCCCTACCCTGTCCTACAGGGTTTCTGTGTTGGCATCGACTGATAGTGCCATGGGTTTTGGGTTTTGAAAGCCCTATAGATTCATTCCCTGCACATGTGGGGTCGCCATGATTGGATGAGCTGGAATCTACTCACCAACCTTGGTTTTGGGTTCTTTTTGTTTGTTTGTGGACTCTTGCCATGAATGCTCCTCTCTCTTGTTCCCTTGAGAGGTTTCTGTGGCCAGAAAGAGCAGAGGCCTGGGCCATAAGTGCAGGCAAGGCAGGGAATCTGGCTCCACTGTTTGTTTGCCTGTCAATCACATGGAAACCCCTAAGTCACATGGGCAAGGGCTAGTGTGTGAAAATGGTCTAGGACCCATGTGCATTTTCTTACATCTTTCCTGCGATGTTTGTTTAAAAAATCGAATCAGATTTTAATCCTTATGAGATTGATTATCATTCTGACCCCAGAGATACCTTTTGGAGCTGATTACAGATATAGCTGGTCTAGAAGGAATGAGAGAGGGGCTGGCTCGTAATCCCGGCCATGTCCTGCTCATGGTCACCGGCCTACCGCCTCAGCACCTGCCCTCATGCTGGCCTGTACCCCAAGGTGCCATGGACAGTTATGCCCTACACCCCACCCTGGACACAGAACAGTTTGCGTTCCCTGGAGGTTTGCATGGGGACCCAGACTCTGAACTGGCAGTACTGGAGTAACCCTTCTACCTCCATCCTTCCCTTTGGAATGCCTTCCTCAACCTGCCCAGCCTCCCCTCTGACTTGCCCATAGGGACTCCTTCCCCTGTGGTCCTTTGGCCTCTTCTCGGCACTCAGCACCCACCACCCACTACTCTAGTTGGGTAGCTCCTTTTACTATGGGTACCTCTCTCCTATTAGAGCATAGTTTCCCAAACATATTTGGCCTACCACCTCCTTTTCAGAAAACATTATTACTCAGCGCCCCCCTGGCAATGAGAAACTATTGTACTATGGCCCACAATCCAGGATAAAGTGTAGGTATCTGCTTTTGCAGCCTCTGTTGGATTGTTCCAGCACCTCCAGCCCCTGACCCTCTGGACGGTGTTGGGAAACTGCACTGTGAAACAATGATGTAAACAAGGTTCTCAGCCTTGCTTGGCTGTCCATTATAATTTCACAAGGAGCTTTTAGAAAACACAAGTGACTGGGCTATACCCCACAGATCAATACAGCAGAGCCTTGGGGGTGGGACTATGTGGGTTCTGGAACTAGCCCAGACCAGCTTGCAAGGAATGATTGGTGAGCTTGGCAAGGCAGTTGGTTCAGTGTTTAGGGGAGTGGTTCCGAGGAGGGACTCCTTGACTCCACAGTGGATACCCGGAGGACCCTTCTTTAAGTGGCCCCCCTTAGAAAGCACCATGATCAGAAGCCCCTGTCCCCATTGAGCCGAAAAGACTAGAAGGCACTTCTAGCCCTCATGGAAATGTTAGGTAGCAGAATAAGGACAGGGGTTTCCCTCACCATGCCTGAAGACCCCCTTCAGGAGGTTGGGAAGAAATTAGGTAAACATTAAACACCTATTAAGATCCTTCAAGTGGGCACCCTCCAATTCAAGCCCCCACCCCCAGCCAGGTGGGCTTGATTCAGCCAATGGGGTCAACCGACACCTTCGACCACACTTCCCCAGCCCGAAGCTCTAAATACTTTAGTGGTGGGACCGCCTTCTCTCTTAGGCCTTCTGCCCTCTCCCCTGGGACCCGGCTTGCTGGGCTGTGTCATGGTCTCTCTGGCCTCAGGTCACCACGTGTGGACCGCAGTCCCACAGGGGTGAGGCCCAGCCCAGCTTACACTAGGTTGGGCATGCTTCCCCCAAATAGCGTGTACTCTTTTGAGACGATAATACCTGAAACTTCTCCCGTCCTTTATTATAACCCACTTGGATCACAAACCAGGCTTCGGCGTGAATCATTTCTCCGGCGAAGCCAAGAACCGAGGTGTTTCCCACCGAGAAGTCTAACAAACAGCGCTTTATTGAGTTGGTAATAGTATGCTGGTAGCATATGTGGACAGAGAAATACATGGCAGTGGGGTCGGGGGTCGGGGGTGGGGAGGGGCGGTTCGGGGATGCAAACCAGTTGCACATCTACGACGACAATGCCGGTGGCACAGAGGCTTTGGAACTGCAGACAAGGGCTCATTGCCGAGTCACTGGGCTGAGGAGGCAAGGGTCCAGAGATGACAGCAGGGCAACTCTGTAGGGAGTCCAGCCTCAGGGAGCTGGACACCCCACCACCACCCCATCCCCACTGTGTGGGGAGCTCCACCGCATGGCATGCGTAGGCCAGGGTATGCAGGAGGTCTGAGGTGCTGAAGTCATGTGAGCTCCTTTTGGAGCTCAGGCCCCATGTGGTGTGCCACCCCACGCCCAGGGCAGCCTGGCTGCATATGCAGAGAGGGCTCAGGGTGGAGAAGGGCCAGCATGTAGCTGTGGGCAGGCAAGCACAGGGGCTGCCCTGTGATCAGTGGCCAGCCACCTCGAGTTTTGACAGCCCTGGTGAACAGAGTAGGTGGGCCAGAGGGGGCAGCTGTGCAGAGGGCCCCAGGCCTCAGGCTCCCTCCCTCCAGCTTCTGTGGCCTGTCCTGGGTGCCAGCTGCCACTGTGATGTGGCAGAGTGCTCCAGGGCCCACATACTGGCACTGTGCAGGTGGGACTCTTGCTTGACTTCTTTGTGGATTGCTCCAGATTGTTAGGGACAAGATGCTGAGCTGGTCAGGGCCTGAGAATGGTCCACTGTTCCTACTGGGGCAAGGGGCAGTTCTCCCAGGGCTCAGGCCCCGCCCGTGATGGTGGGGAGGGTCTGAACCAACATCTCCTAGCAAGGTTTGCCTGGGTCTTTTAAACGAGCGAATCCCTTGAACCTGCTGACCAGGACGGGTGTGACATGCTGGGGAGATTGGAGCTGACCGCTGTTTCAGGAGTCGACTGAAGGCCTCCTTCTTGAGGTAGCCACGTCCCTCCAGCAGAGCCTGTCACAGACAGGGGTCCTCTGCTGCCCTCTCCTCCTTCCCAGCCAGGGAATCCCAGCCAACCCCCCTGACCTGCAGGAAATGTGTGTCATGTGTGGTGGGGGGCTGGTTTCCTATGTGCAGTCACCCTTGGAGAGCCTGAGGCTGCAGAATTAACCCTGGGATCAAAAGACCACAGCTGTCCCTAGGCGAGGCTTTGTGGGACTCTCACTGCTCTTGGCCCCTTCCTGCATTCTATATGACAGTGTCCTGGACTGGTCTCTCCTCAGTAGGGACTCTGCCTCCCTGGGGGGCCTGGGGGTCCAGGGGGCCCCTGGATCCCTGCTTCACCCTTAGGGCCCATGGGTCCCCGCTGGCCTGGTGACCCTGTCTTCCCTGCAATCCCTGGTTTTCCCTGAGGCCCTGGGGGCCCCTCTGGACCTGGGGGCCCCTCTAGGCCTAGGGGTCCCACATCACCTTTGGGGCCTGGCTGTCCTCTTGGCCCACCAGTTCCAAAACTTCCTTTTGAGCCTTTGGGGCCTGAGACACCTCGAAGGCCAACTGGCCCCCGGTCTCCCACAGGTCCGGCATCCCCCGGCTGCCCCTGAGGCCCCTGAGGCCCTAGGGGGCCCAAGCTACCGGGGTCTCCTTTCGGCCCTCTGATGCCAATGGGTCCTCTGACGCCCACATCTCCCTTGAGTCCTCTTGGTCCTGGAGGCCCGGGGACACCTAGGGTTGGAAAGAAAAGGAGAGAGGTCATTCCATGGGGGACTGCTTTATGACCCTGCCCTCAGGAGGCTTTCCACAAACAAAGAGCCACGGCCCAGCGCTGGACTGACACAAAGCCCAGGCCTCCCGAGTCCTGGCTCTTCTGGGTCTCCTTAGACGTCTGTGTCGTGGGGATCATAATCTTACCTGCTGGGCCCCATCTGCCATGAGGCCATGCGTGAACGTGGAAGGTGTTTAGCACAAGCTCCAGTACATAGTGCACACGCAGCAAGTAGCGGCCCATTACTGACGTCAAGGATTGCCTCTGGCTGTGTGTACACTCAAGTCGGACCACTCTGGGGAAAGGCCACGGTGGTCCTGCATTCTCTCTCCTAGTGCAGAGCCCAGGCTGGTCTCTGACCATGTAGACTCATCCACGCCCTACCCATAGGCTCTGTCCCTGATCACTTAGCTATCAGGGAGCAGAGACGGAGTTAGGTGACACTGAGGAAAAGGCAAGAAAAGGAGGCATACGAAGAAGGAGCACACTAGTCCGAGTCGGTGAGAACATAACCGCTCCCAGAAAGAGCAGTTCCTCCAGGTAGCCTCCACTGACCTCTCCAGCCTCTTCTCGGAGCGCCCGGGGCTCCCGCTTGCTGACTCTGATGTAGACCCAGGAAGAGAAGGACGAGTGTGCTGGAAGCCAGCTCTAGACTTCTCTGCTGGGCCCTCCAAGACTGGAGCCCTTGAAGGATTGGTTGAGGGCCAAGCCTCCCACCCCCAGCCGGGACACGGAGTGTGGCTTGTGTCAGAGAGCTCAGGGCAAGGCTGGAGAGGGTGCCTCTGGGAAGGGAGAACGAAAACTGTTCACAGATGATATGACTGTCTATGTAGAAAATCCCAAAGCATCAGCAGCAACAAAAATGGAGTAAGTGAAAATAGCAAGGCTGCAAATACAACATCGATAAGAGTCGACTGCTCTTCTGCATACAATGAACAACTGGCATTTGACATGAAAAACACAACACCACTTACATTAACACCAAGAAAATTTAGGAGGTATAAATTAACAATAGATGTACAAGATCAGTATGAGGAAAACTGAAGAACAGAAGAAAGAATTCTAAATAAATGGAGAGACAGTCTATGTTCGTTCAGGCATCACCGTCATGGAGGATGGCACAGGACTGGGAGGTCCGTCACTGTTGTACATCGTTGTACACTGTTGTACACTGTTGTAATGCCGACACTAGGAGTTGGCATTAACTCAACGGCACCTGAGATAACATCACCATGGGGTTTACTGCAACTCACAGTGACCTTCATATAGTTTCTGAGACTGGAACCTTCAAGGGGGCAGACAGTCTTCTCTTTCTCCTGTGGAGTAGTTGGTGGGTTTGAACTGCTGACCTTGTGTTTGGTAGCCCAATGCCTAACCTACAATGTCACCTGGGAAAGGCATAGGCAAAGAAGTCAGTAGAACAAAATAGAGGGCCCAGAAAGAAACCCAGAAATAGAATGAAGTCAACTGCTCTTTGACAAACGAGCAAAGGAGATGCTTCCAACAAGTTGTGCTGGACAACTGGTATTCATGTGCAATCCATAATTAAATGGCACAGTGAGCTTACATCGTTTGTATTGGAAAGTGGGTTGTTGCAGATGCAGTTCAGCTAAAATTTAGCATCCTATCTATCATCTGATCTCCCTTATGGTCCATTTAACTTTGTTCTCATTTTTAATAGTTTCTTCTTTCTTTTCGGATGAGGTTTTTAATCTGCTTTATCTTATTACTGTTGTTGGTCTTATTGGTTTGGCTTCCCTGTGTGTGAAATCCAGGATAGTCCATCTATAAAGAGTAACAGGATGCATGGTTCCTTGGGGGACAGCATGGGGGAATAATGATGAGCATGAGATGAAGAAAAGTTCTAAAACCGATCGTAGTGGTGATTGCACAACTCTTCTTGATGTGATTGGATTGTTGAATGATAGGATATGTGAATTATATGCCAACAAAATGGTTGAAAAAAATCAACTCATAAGGAAGGACTCAAAGACTTAAATTACATAACTTCTAGAAGATGATACAGGAGAAAATGGTGGCAGGTTTGGTGAGAGTGGTGTAGCAAGTGACTGAGAACCGTCTGTAGGCTAGGCTCTGGATGATGGCATGTGGGATATGCCGAGAAGAGAAGGCCTTTCCTTAATAAACCCAGTCTAGTGCCCACGCCCTGGTGGGGAAGTGGCTACACATTAGGCTTTGATCTACAAGGTCTGCAGTTCAAAACTGTCAGCCGCTCTGACATAGAAAGGTGGAGCTTTCTACCTGTCCTATATGGCTGCTGTGAGTCAGCATCGCCTCTATGACAGTGACTTTGGTCTTGAGCACCCAAGCCAGATGTCAGGTAGCCCAATGACCTTTTGTCAGAGCAAGTCTGAGGGCCACTACCTCTCAGGTGTGTATCAATGCTGAGGACACACAGACAAATGTGGCTGTCACTTTACCGAAGGCATGTGAGATGCAGGGACAAGGAATTGAGTGGCCTCAAGGGGACAATGGTCCAATGTTTTTACCATCAAGGGGCCGAGGTGCAGCCTGGGCCTTGCTTCTGTGGTCTGGCCGAGGGGTCAGGGTAGGGGGGAGAGCTGCTGAGAGCAGTGAGCCACAGCGTAGGCCTGGGAGATGAAGCCAAGTGCCCACACCCATGCCACTACAAGAGCTACACTCTGACCTCACCCTCTTTGCCACTGAATCCTAGAGCCATGGAGCTTGATGGGACTCTCATACCTTCCTTTGACAGAAGAGGCAAGGAATGCCCCGAGTGGTGAAGCGACACCCCCATGTCTTCCTGAGGAGGAACTAGAACCCCAGTGGGTCTCTCGGACAATAGGGATCCTGTATACTGAGTTTCATATCCCAGCACTGTGGGACCAGGACCCATCTGAAGAGCCCTGGTGGCTGGAGGTCATGGTCTAGCGACCTGCTGCCCTCCACATCCCCCTTCCCCGTGCAGTGGGCCTGCTGCTGCCTCCCTCCCTCTGCGTCCAAGGTGTTTCTAAGTGGAACGGCGTGTTGGTGCATACTGCCTTCTATTCTAACCAAAACTGCAAACCAGAGCCCAGACAGAGTCAGCCCTGCTCGAGCCAACACAAACTTTCGGGCAGCTCCCTGCCCTGCCGGCACCACCGCCACCTCCCACCCACGGGGCTGTGGCTCACGTGGCCTGCCAGCAGCCGAGGCTGGAATTCCGTCCGTCATCTAGTTGGCTGGGGGCAGAGGGTGGGGCCAGCTGGGGGTGGCAGCAGCTTGGCCTCGGTGAAATTGGGAAGCAGGACCTGCCCTTTCATCCACAGTACGCCCCCACCCCCTGCGCACGACACACCGGGACCCTCACAGGGACTGCCTCCCCCAGACTGGCAGGGCTCGATGAGAACTGGCCATGCCACCGTGTCTGTCTTCACCCTAACTCTGTTCCGAGTTCAGGCCAACTACAGTTTGGAAAAGCAGAGAGGCGTTTAGAGGTGGACAGGCCCTCAGGGGCCATGTGTACATAGTGCAAGAAGCACACAGCAGAGAGACAGAGGGTTGGGAGCCACTCAGGGCAGATCCTTCAGACAGGGTGAGTCCCTCAGCCAAGGCTGCCTGCTCTGCAGGAGGGAGCACATCGTAGCTCCTTTCTCCTCGTGGTTTGGGGGCCTGGAGGCGCACTGGTTGCGAGTCAAACCCCCCAGCGGCTCCTCAGGAAAAAGAGGAGGCTTTCTAGTCCCATCAAGGGCGACAGTCTTGGAACCCCAGAGAGGCAGTTCTACCCTGCCCTATAAGGTCACTATGAGTCGGCATCGGTGCGATGGCAGTGAGTTTGAGTGGGAGGGTCGGTGTGGTGATTTGACAGTCACTGTTTTTGTCAAATCTTCTGGTGCATTAGCTACGACATCATTGTCACTGGCGTTTGTGGGTTCATGTCAAGCACTTGTTGAGACTGTAGTAAGTAAAGAAGCTCATGGTGACTCCCAGCCCTCCCATGACCTCCTCCCTTATTGACCAGGCAGCGCCTTTGCGACGGTCAGTGTCAATTTCAATCATGTGATCGATATGGAGTAATAAATCCGTTTTGTAAAATCTTTCTGTGGTGAGCGACAATGTGATTAGCTACAGAAGTCTTCAACAATTTTTTCTCCTTCTTTTCCTTTAACTATGACTTCATTCTCAAAATCAAAGTTATTGATATTAAGTTCACAAACACAAATTACCACGATATTGCACGTAAAGCTCTGGAGAAGTTGTCAAAAACAGTGACTGTAGAGTCGCCAGCAACAATGAAAATAAGAGTGTGCACTTGAGCTCCTGCGAGGAGACCGTGGGGTCCGAAGCATCCTATTCTGGTTGGGTCGTGATGACAGCTCGCCGGGAGCGCACTCAAACAGCCTTACTTCCCTCCGGAGCCCAGCCTGACTCCGAGCCGCCTGCGGACCGAGCAGCGCTGCCCCCCGTCTTTCCAGGAGTAGAAAGCTCAGTTTGCTCTGATGGCATGGCCTGCACTGCTGACTTTGCAGTGAGCATTCCCAGGAGTAACTGTTGTCACCACCAGGGCTCCTGAGAGCACCCGGAAAGGTTCAAAGGTCAAAAAGACCACCGTCTGCTAAGCTCGCGAGCAGCCATCTAAGGTGCGAGTGTGGGTCTCCCTTCATCTGGAGGAAAGACGGATGGTGAAAACCAAGACGCACGGCAGTTAGTTCCCTGGACAAGCGGCTCATGCAGGCATCCACCTCCATCACCCTCAGAGCAGAGGAACTCGACAGCGCCCGGCTGCCACTACCTACTTCCCCAAACAGGGTCATTATCAGGAGGGCCCAAGTAGAGTGAGAGAAGATTGGGGGGACAAAACTCCAAATCA